GCTTACGGATTAGAGCTCGACACGAAAAGGTCAACAAATGTATGAGGATCATAAACGTCACTGTTTCCAACAAAAAGGAAAGAAAGAAACCATCAAGAACATGGTCATTGCAATTTAAAAAAATTATTGTTAATCAATTTACATTTTACAAAAAGATATCTACTTCTACAACACCTTTGCCAACGGAAAAGTGCATTTTTAACTGTATCCTCCTCTGAGTCTGAGTCTGAGTCATCCGGTTTGTGATCAAACGGACCCGAAACCTAATCACAATTAAGGGGAAAAAAATCTCCATGTTTCCAAGCCCAACACAATTTTCAACCAAAAAAAAAATACTGGACTGACAATTAATCTTGCAATAAAGAGATAAACAGTAACAAAGATTAAAATATAAACACAAGACATGAAGGATACGGTTGCGATTAAATCGACATTTGGATCATCGATTGGCTTAAGCATGATCATTGTCCTGAAATGATTTGCTTCTTCAAAATAATCCTCAAAGAGGCACTTCAAAGCAAGCTTTCCGAACAACATATTATAAGATGACTCCAACATCCTGCACACCCGCATTTTTTTTTCAAAAGCAGATAACTTTATTAAAAAAAAGGAAAAAAAAAATCTTCCAAACTAAACCCTAAAAAACCTAAGCAAAATAAAAAGAAACCCAAGAAAATGCAAACAAACAAACAAAAAAATCAATCGAACAAAAATTTTCGTCATATTAAACTTTCTTTCCCGGCCGGACCTAGTACGGGCGGCGAGAGGAGGGAAGTCGAAGAGAGGAGGAACGAGCACCATTGGCGGTGGTGGTTGCTTGTTCAACAAGTTTCCCATCGTTCTCTGGTGTGGTGTGGCTAGGGTTTCGATCCCACCGTTGAGCAGAAGAAGAGAAAGGAGAAGACTCTAGTATGGGAATGGGGAAGAAAGAGGAGTGAATTGTGGAAGGAAGCTCAAGCTGGGACGCGGGGTGTTATATATATCCGACTCAGAGGCTGAGGTCTATGACGGTTTTCCCTCTCCAGAAATCCGCGGGAGCGATTTGTTTCACAGATAATTAGGATTAATATCTCCAAACTATATTTGCTTCGTGTTTAATTCGTTGATTTGAGTTTTTAATTTGAGTTAAAATATAATTTTATATGATAACTTTTTATTATAATAAAAAAATTAAATGTGATTATTTTTTAAAATTTTTTACTGTAATAAAACTCAAATTCTAAATTCGAATCGTTGAAATAATGAGGGCTTGTTCTTTTGATGCTTTTGAGTTAGATAACTTGAGTGTAAATTTTGAGTTGAGTATGAGTTATAACTTGAATTAAAGTTGTAATTTAGTCTTTGAGTTATGGTTTGAGATAATAATCTTTTTTGAGTTTGTGTTTGAGTAAGTTAAAACTTGAATTTGTATTTAGATAGTATTTTAATAAAAACTCAATGCTGATGAAAAATTTTAATAGGATATATGAGTCTAGTTTTATTCATCTTTTCATTGTTAACGCATAGAAAAAAAAATCATCTCAATCAGAATTAAAACGAAAAAATTATATCATTTTTAATAATAGAAAAAATATTGTTCATTAACTTGAGTTCGAGTTCTGAACTCGAGTTGAAAGGAAAACTTGAACTTGAGTTTTAGTTCCAAACTCGAATTCAAACTCAAGTTCAAACTTAAAAGAACATGAACTCAAATAAAATTATAACTCGAGTTACCTTTTTTTGAGTTTTTCACTCAAAAACCACTCTGCCGAACAAAGCCTGAGACTTCATTTCACTTGTTGGGTATGTTTATTTTCATAACTCAAGTCATATTCCTATAATATTTTTTCTAATAAAAATTTAATTTTAATTTTTTTATTATAATATTTTTTTCTCACATACACAGTTAAAATCATAACTCAAATTATGAAAAAAAAACAAACTTTTTAAATTTAAAAAAAAAAACTTTAATAGAAGTCTTGTCTTGTCTTTTTTTTATTTCATTCTATATTCTTCAAATAATATTCTGTCATGCCAATAAAAATAAAACTTCTCTGGTGCAGTAGGACACATTTCTAGTTACAGTTAGATTTAAAATCTTGTGGTGTGTAATTGAGAACAAAATTGGTATGGCAACTTTAAGATCTCATTTATCTTATCAATTTAAATTTTTAATTTTTAATTTTTATAATTAAAATTTTTTTAAAAATATTACATTTAATTTTTTTTTGTTACAATTAAAATTTTTTTAAAAAATAATACATTTTAACTCAAATTCACGAAGTAAACCATACCTAAATGTTTAGTCCACCTAAACAGTTGTTTTCAGGTGTAAAAATGGCTGAATATATATATATATATTTAAAAAACAAGTTGAATAATTTAAAAAAAAAAAACGGTCTCTTTTCTTCCAGGTTTTTTGAGCCTTTTCTTTTTTGCCTTTGCCCTTTCCCCATGATATTTGCCCTTTCCCCGACGCCGGCAACTCTCCGGCAAACGCGCATGCATCACCTCTGCCATCTCCACCTTATTCAGGAGATTTAGATGGTTCTTCATTTGTTTATTTTTTGTCCATTTTCAGAAAAAATTTTGCTGGGCTTGTGATATGCTTTTGTTATCGTCTTTTCAGGTTTAAAAGAGTGTCCTCTTTCAAAGCATTTCCTTACTAAAATACCTATCAGGGAGCGGTGCTTTTATTTATTTATTGATTTGGGTTCTCTCTCTTTGGTCTCTTGCTCACTTCATGTTTCTTCTCGATCGCCTCTCGGTAGTGATGGGGTTTTCTTTATGGGTGTTAATCGGTTTTCTTTTTTGTGGGTGTTAATGAGTTTTCACTGACCTTCATAGATTTCTAGTTAATATTCAGAAAAGGGGCACCAAAAAAAAAAAAAAAAAAAAAAAA